AGCCACGTGGCAAGGTATAGATTTATAGAAATGGGTTAATTTAAGATAAAAGAACAGTTAGCAAGAAGCCTGCCACGGCCATACAGTTTATAAGTAATATAAGTGTGTGAGTGATTATTTTATACGTGGATTGTGGGACTGCGGGGCTTGGTGGAACCTGGAGAGAAGCCCTCCAGCAACAAAAGCCCTTTAAAGAAAATTTCATTTTTTTTTTAGGTTCCAATTTATTGTGCCTAAGGAATGGAACAGCAGATACAGACCTGTGTGCATTCATCTGGCTGGAACAGGAGACCATGTAAGGCTGGTGACATCATAGTACTTCAACTCTAGAAAATCCTTAGCACTTGTCCTCAGCACTTGCCTATTGTATTCTAAGTGTGTCATCTCTTTCCTTAGCATTACTGGAGGCGCAGAACTCTCATGGCTCGTCCTATGATTAAGGAGGCCCGAATGGCTTCATTGTTGCTAGAAAACCCTTATTATATCCTTTTGTTATACTTTAAAATTTTCTTTATCTCATTATTTATATATTTACTCTTCAAAAGAATAATCAGTAGTACTTTTTTTCTTAAAGATTTATTTCATTTTATGTGTATGGGTGTTTTGCCTGCATGTGTACCATATGTGTGCTTGGTGTTTGTGGAAACCAGAAGAGGGAGCCAGATCCCCTGGAACTGATATGACTGTTGTGAGCTGCCCAGTGGTATTGGGAACTGAACCCAGGTACCCTAGAAGAACATCCAGTGCTCTCCAATGCTGAGCCATCTCTCCAGCCCCATTGGTAACTAACTTTTCAAAACTAGTTAAATCCACTTATCAGGTCAGAAAATATTTAAAAAGCAAGAATGAAAGATTATTTTATGCCTTTTTAAAAGAAATGTAATGAAAAGTAGCAATGGAAGTTCAAGGCCAGCTTTGAATAGATAGTGAGTTTGAGGCTAATCTTAGCTAAAAAAAAAAAAAAAAAAAAAATCCTGGAAAAACAAAAACAAAAAACAAAACAAAACAAAAAAACCCTAAAGGCCAGGTGTGGTGGTGCACACCTTTAATCCCAGCACTCAGGAAGCAGAGGCAGGTGAATCTCTGTGAGTTCGAGGCCAGCTTGGTCTACAAAGTGAGTTCCAGGACAGGCTCCAAAAGCTACACAGAGAAATCCTGTCTTGAAAAACAAAAAACAAAACAAAATAAAACAAAAATGCATCATATATGGTGGCACATTACTTTAACCCAGGTGCTCAGGAGGTTGAAGCAGGAAAGTTGTGAGTTGGAACCAGCTTAGGCTTTATAATGAGACTAACATAGTATTTTAATCCTATTTATAATAATGATAAATTGTACTTTTAGTTCTTGAGGTTTTTATGCTTTACTTAGTAAGTCAAAAGTTTGCTATTAAAGAAGTGTTCATTTTTTAAAATGCATTTATAGTAAAGGTGGGGGTCTAGAACAATACTTAATTTTGAAGATGCCATCAGCCTATTCATAGAAAAAAAAATGATGCCCAACATTTTTAGTAATAAAAGAAATGTAAAATCCAACAATTCCCAGTGTTTCTTAAATAATAAACACAATATTAGAAAAGCTGCTGTGAATGGGGAACTTACTACAAATGACTGAAAATCAGTGTAGCTCAATACAAAAGCAATTTTAATATATCTATTAGGAGTCTTAAAATATCTCACATCTACCTGGGGAGATAGCTCAATCAGCAAAGTGCCTGCACACAATCACTGAGAACCTGAGTTCAGATCCCCAGAACTCATGGCACTCATCCATAACCCCCATACTGGGGAGGCAGAGTCAAATGGATTCCTGGAGCTCATTGGCCAAGGTGGATAGTGATTGATGAAGATGTTAATGTCAACCTCTGGTCTTCACAGGAATCAGCGCGCGCGCGCGTACACACACACACACACACACACACACACACACACACACACACACACACAGCCAACTCACATCTGAGCAAAGTGTAGCTTGGTGATAGAGTTGGCCTAGCATGTGAGCTCCTGGATTCAGTCCCTTTGTGTACTACAACGGAGAAAATAAAGGAAAAATAAACTCTCAGATCTCTTGACGGGAATTTTTTTTTTCAGTCTGCCAAATTTATTCTAAGAATATAGTACAACAAACAAAAAAACTACACATAGAAAATATGCTTATGTATCTTTACTATATAAAACAATAGAGATTAAAATGCATAGGAGAGAAACTACTGAGTAGCGTGGTTCATAATACTGGAGTGCATACAGTTGGTTGTGCTGTTGATTGCTTCTGCACTTGTGTCCTCAAACCTGCCAGTCACCTTTTGTATTTGTTTTCTCACTTGTAAGTGGGAATCCTTTCTTAGGTCAGACAGAATATTAAATACTCAGCACAGCTTAGAATAGGATTTGGTAAATATTAAGCATTTCTTAAGTTTAAGTAAGTTGAGAATCATTTGTGAACATATTTATGGTGTAAAAGTGGGACATTAGACCATGTTCTTTCCGTGGTAGAACAAATGCACAAGGTTCTGGGTAAATCCCTAATACCAAAAGCAAGATAGAAACAAACTCAAACCATGTGGAATGGAAAAGAGGGGAAAAAACAATACATTAGGAAAACTACTGGAAATAATTTAAAAATATTAGTGTCAATGTTTGTAGATAAAGTAGTTTTGAATAGTTTTCTGTATTTCCTAGATTTCTGAAATAAACATTTACATAAGTTTTATCAATAAGCCAGGCAGTAGTGGTGCACACCTTTAATCCCAGCACTTGGGAGGCAGAGGCAGGTGGATCTCTGTGAGTTTGAAGCCAGCCTGGTCTACAAAGTGAGTTCCAAGACAGCCAGGGCAACACAGAGAAACCCTGTCTTGAAAAAAATTAAATTAATAAATTTCATTTTAAATCTAAATTGAAGATTGTGTAACCTTGTAAGTATACTTAGTATATTAACTTATATATTTCAAATAAGTGAATTACTTGGTTTGTGATTAGATCTCAGTAAAGCTATGTAAATTAAAAGAAAAATAACTAAGCTGAAAAATCTGAGGACTTCTAAACAGCATTTGAAGTAACTAGGAAGTATTTATTTGGGTATTGTATTCAAATTTAACTGTTGTGCTTAAATGATATATTCTGAGATGAGTATATTTAATTATTTTAAAATTTTCTCTTTGACCTATCTTCTCAAATGGCTGCAGGAAGCCCAAGGACCAAGTGTAAGTATCTATCACCTTCATTGTCTTTATTCCTGCAGTCTTTAGGACATATGTTTGGTAGTCTTTAGTTAACCATTTCTTCAGTTGACTTGTAAAACTTAGTAAGAATATTGTCTTTAATTCTTATTTTTTAAGATTTTTACAGTTTAATGTCTGGTAAGGTGATAGATTTAGAAACCTTAGTAGGCTGATTTTCAGATTATATCTTATTTGTGAAATTATACCTGAACAAAAGATAAGACTTTATCCTTTTTAAATACATTTTTTAAAATCACTATGTGTATGTGTGTTGGGCAGGGGGGGTTGGTATGCTCATGTGAGTGGTAGGTGCCCATAGAATCTAGAAGGAAAACACTGGATGCCCTGGAGCTGTAGTTATATGTGGATGCCAGGAACCAAATCCAGGTCCTCTGCAATAACAGTATGAGTTCTTAACCTCTGAGCCACCTCTCCTGGCCCCAAACTTTGTGTTTTTAAAAGTACTCTTATTTATTTAGTTTTTTTTCCCCCAAAGACTTGAAAGGACTTGAAAGTGATTGAAAAAATGGTCAAAATGACATTTGGGGAAGAAGTATGTGGGGTGCTTTTTTTCCAAATGGGTAAAGGATTTGAAGATACTTGTATCTTGGGTAAAGGCTCATCTAAAGGTGACTTTGGCTAAGAAAGAATCTGATAATCAAGTTGATAGGATGACCTGTTCTGTGAACAGTTAGCCTCTTTTTCCAGCCATTCCTGTCTTTGCCTGGTGTATCCAAGAATAAAGTAGCCACAGTGGCAGAAATGGAGGTTATGAATGGACTGGATAATATGGACTTCCACTCACCAAGGCTGACCAGGCTACAGCTGCTGCTGAGTGCCCAATCTGTCAACAGCAGAAACCAACACTGAGCCCCCAATATGACACCATTCCCTGGGGTGACCAGCCAGTAACCTGTTGGTAGATTGACTACATTGGACCTTCCTTCATGAAAAAGGCAAAGCTTTGTCCTTATTGGAATACTTATTCTAGTTATGAATTTTCCTTTCCTGTACATAATGCTTCTGCCAAAACTACCATCTGTGAACTTAGACAATGCCGTATCCCCTGTCGTGGTATTCCACACAGCATTGCATCTGACCAAGGAACTCACTTCACAGCCAAAGTGTGACCGTGGACTTGTGCTCACAGAATGTACTGGTCTTACCACATTCCCACCATCCTGAAGCAGCTGGCTTGACAAAACAGTGGAATGGCCTTTTGAAGACGTAGTTACCATGTCAATTAGGTAGCAGTAGCCAGGAGGGTTGGGCAGGGTTCTCCAGAGGGAAGTATATGATTTGGATCAGTGTACAATGTGCCTTGCTTACTGTGAGGACTGAGTTAGAGTGAACTTTGTGAAACTATGTGAAAGTTAAAGTCCAAGCTAAAGAGTTCAAGAATTTTCAGTCTGGAACCAAACCCTGAAATCAAATATAGGACGTATCTTTTTCCTTATCCATAAGTTGCTGAAAAACCAAAGAGTTTATTTAGTCTAATAAGAAACAACCTGAGTTAATAAAAGACTGTGACTCATACAGACTGAAGTTGGAATGATAACTTGTCATTTACTAATTATATAACCTGGCCTCTTTAGTTTGAGTTAACTCATTTATAGAATCAGGATACTAATGATTTCTTCCAGGCAGAATTGTTTTTAGAATTATGTTCAGAAAATATTGTTCCTGATCCGTGTAGTGGTGTACACCTTTGATCCCAGCACTCAGGAGACAGAGCCAAGTGGAACTCTGAGTTCCAGGACAGGCAGGGCTACACCGAGAAACCCTGTCTCCAAAAAAGAAAGAAGAAAGAAAACATTGTTTCTTACATTATGTACTCAAGAAATGTACTGGTCTGGGGTGGAGCTGGTGTTCAGTAGTAGAGCAAGTGCCTAGTGTAGACAAGGCCCAGCACTTGATCCACAGCCTTAAAAAAGAGTAGTAATGATGATGGTCCAGTTTGTTTCCTTTTTCCTTCAGAGAGTTCAACAGAAATACAGTGGCTTGCAGTTTAAATCTGTAAATCAAAATGTACTGCTCTTGCTTTCTTTGGCTGGGGTCGGGAGGTGGAGACTGAATGGGGTACCTCGCTTAGTTGTCCAAGCTGGCCTACTTCAACCTCCAAAGAGATGGGATTACAGCCATGGACCATCGTGTCCAGTTTCTCTCTCTTTTAAAAAATCATCAAAAGTGAGTAAACGAAGAACAAAGATTACAAAAGAAAGAAAATAAACAGTTGGACCGGTCCACTGTACATATCTTTGTCCCAGAACCTCGAACTAGTGTCTCTTATGCAAAGAACCAACTGAGGAGTGACAGGGAGCATTGCTTCAGAACTCAGAACTCCCATGACGGGTTAAGATAAAAGCTACGCAGAGAAACCCTGTCTCGAAAAACAAAACAAAACAAAACAAAAAAAGATAAATTTTGTAATCAAATATAGAAAATTGGCTGCAAGACAGGAAACAAGTAAAGTGGGGTCTTTTCTGATGGAATGTGATCCATTTTAACGGAAGAGAGCATTCGGTTTGTTGTTAGCCTTTTTTTTTTGTTTGTTTGTTTGTTTTTGGTTTTTCCAGACAGGGTTTCTCTGTGTAGCTTTGCGCCTTTCCTGGAACTCACTTGATAGCCCAGGTTGGCCTCGAACTCACAGAGATCCGCCTGGCTCTGCCTCCCGAGTGCTGGGATTAAAGGCGTGCGCCACCACCGCCCGGCTGTTGTTAGCCTTTTTGAAACAGGTTTTCACTGTGGAGCTCAGGCTGAGCCTGAACCCTGCTCCTGCTTTAGCATTTCAGTGAACTCTTGTCAAAATGTACACAGATTCACTGAGTGTTTATTCAGTGGGTGCCTCCTTACATTAATTCTGTGAAGAGATGACTAGTTTGAAATCAGAACCTCAGCCACTTCAGAGTTTAACATCTACTGTCTTCAAAGTCTCTACTTGAAGAAAGTGGGCTTCTCTTTATAAGAACTCCCCTGATGCAGGGCACAATGGCCCACCAGCAATGCCAGAACTTGTGAAGCAAAGGGTAGTGGATCAGAAGTTCAGCATCACCCTGTGTCAAAAAATAATAATAACAGAAAATTCCAGATATGTTGGGTTTTGCTTAAATTAATCTAGCCAGGTTTCATGGCACTACCTGTAATCCCAGCACTAAGGCTAGGGCAGATAGATCTAGAATTCAGGGTCATTCCAGTACACATAGCAAGGTCCAGTCTCAAAAGTTAATTGATTAAAACATGTTTTTGAAGTCAGGCATGCACATATCTGAAATCTCAGTACTTAGGAGGCAGCGGCAGGAAGATCTCAAATTTGAGGCCACCATGGGCTACATATGAGCTCACTGCTAGCCTGAGTTACAAAGCAAGCCTTATCTCAGGCGGGGGAAACACACACACACACACACACACACACACACACACAATGTAACTGTGGGCCAGCAAAATGGCTGAACTGGTAAAAATCAATTGCAGCACAAACCTGGCAACCTAAGGTCAATCCCTGGGATCCACATAAAGGTAGAAGGAGAAAACTGATTCCATCCACAAAGTTGTCTTCTGACTTCCACACACACTATGGCATGCATACATGTACACATGCATCAGTAGACACCCATACACAATAATTTCTTAATTTTTAAAAGTATTAAAATGTAAACACATGAAATAAATCATTTTCTGTTTTGTTTTGTGAGGCTAGAAGATCCAGCTTAAAAAATGTGTCTGACCTATTTGTGATGGGAGGCGCTCTTATTCTGGAGTCTGCAGCTCTCTTGCACTGGCTAGAGAGGGAAGGTTATGGACCTCTTGGGATGACTGGAATATCCATGGGAGGACATGTGAGTCTTTTCAGCTTATATTTCATTACCATCATTTTTGTAAATAGAAGTAATTTTAAGTGTACTTGAGGCATGAACTTAATGTTGGCATATAATGTTGGTGAAAGTAGGAAGTAGAAATATTTCCTCTAATGAAGTGTTATTTTGTGTAATTCATGTAGACAAGCATATATTGTACAATTCCAGGTATAGCTCAGATTTAACATTTAATATTTTATTAAAAGTTGACTACAGGGGCTGGAGAGATGGCTCAGAGGTTAAGAGCACTGACTGCTCTTCCAGAGGTCCTGAGTTCAATTCCCAGCAACCACATGGTGGCTCACAACCATCTGTAATGAGATCTGGCGCCCTCTTCTGTATACATAATAAATAAATAAATAAATAAAAATAAAATAAAATAAAAAAAAAAATAAAAGTTGACTACAAAGTGGTTGTGCATACCTTTAATCGCAGCCCTTTGGAGGCAGAGGCAGACGGATCTCTGTGAGTTCAAGGCTAGCCTGGTCTCCATAGTGAGTTCCAGGACAGCCAGGGCTATACAGCCAGGGCTACACAGAGAAAAACAAAAATTTTAAAAAGTTGATTACAAAAAAAAAAATCTAACTTTTCAAGGGTCTTTTCAATATATTCAAAGTGTATCCTTACTTTTGCTACTGGTCAGAAGAGAAATGAATTTGGAGGTGCTTTCTAATTTTTTTAGTGTATATTAATTATCTAACATAATAGGTTTCATTTGTGACATTTCATTATGTGTAGACTGTATTTTGATGATACTCACTTTCATTTATTACCTTTCTCCATCCCCAGTACAACGAACCTATGCTTTGTTTTCTAGACTATACTGAACAGACTCCTAATTGGTTTCTCTGTCCCAAGTCTTTTCTCCCATTCTTTTTTTTTTTATTATTGAAAAATAATGTTTTCATACAATATATTCTGATCACATTTTTTACCTCTCTCAACTCCTTCCACATCCTCACCATCTTACTACCCATCCAATCCACACTTTTTCTTTAAAAAAACAAGCAAACACAAAACCCAAGAAATGCATATACACACAAACCCCCCCTCAAAAAAATTGGAAACCAAAGACTAATTTTCTTAAGACCAATAAGACACCCCCCCCCCCAAAAAAAAGCCCAAACGAAACTAGATGAGATGGAAAGTCTACAAAATACCGTTGTATTTGTTTTGTGTTTGGCCATCTCTTCCCAGGCATGGGACCTAGGAGGAGATTGATTTTCCCCCTTTCAAGTGGTACCAATTGCAGACAGCTTCTTGGTTAGGGATGGACCCCCCACCCCATGCCAACTTCTCAGGGCTGGTACCCAATCTGGTTTGAACCTGTTCATGCCCTGTGCCTGCTGCGGGTCTCTGAGTTCATATGTGTGTCCGTTTTTTTGTGTGTGGAAGACACTATTTCCTTGGAGTCATTCACTACCTCTGGCTCTTAACAGTCTTTCCACCTCCTCTTTGCTTCCTTTTGCTCTGCATAGGCTCCTGAGCTCTGCATAGGCTCCTGAGCTCTGAGCAAAGGGTTGATGAAACCATCCCATTTAAGGCCAAGTACTCCAAAGCCTCTTTTTTGTTTGTTTGTTTTTCGAGATGGGGTTGCTCTGTGTAGACCAGGCTGGCCTCCAACTCAGAGATCTGCCTGCCTCTGCCCCACTCCCCACACCCCAGTGCTGGGATTAATGGCATATGCCACTACTCTCTGGCCCAAAGCATCCTACTACTTGTACACTGTCCAGTTATAGTTCTCTGGTAGTTCTCATCTATGGCAAGAAGCCGCCTCTCTGATGAGGGCTAAGTGAGACACTGATCTGAGCCCTAGACTGGTTTCTTTAAGTTTTTCCTCTCTGGTATAACTTGAATGCTCTAAGTCAGATTTTCGGCTTCTCCTGCTCAAAATGTGCTGGCTTCCCAGGGCTCTAGCTGGGTCAGGCACTAATGCCTCTCTAGCGACCCCTTGTGCCATCACCTAGCCAAACAACAGGCCTTTCAGCTTCCTTCCCACCAGCTTCATCTGCAAACTGTGCTTCATCCCTCAGTACATTTCCACAGTGCTATACCATAATTGCTTGCTGTACTGTATTCTCCATGAAGCACTTAGTACAGTTAGTATCTGAAGTGTGCTCTGGTTGATTATATAAAATGCATTCGTCATTAGGGGTGTGTGTGTGTGTGTGTGTGTGTGTGTGTGTGTGTTAGTTTTATATTTTTAAAAATGGATTTGAAGTTTGCTATAGATGATCATTTGAATTGTAAAAACTTAAATTCAGAATGTTACTCAAAGCCAGGAGTGGCAAGTGCATGCTTGTAGTTCCAACACTACAGAGACTGAGGGAAAAGAGCACAAGTGTGAAGCAGAAGCAGCCTGTGTACACAGAAAGACTATCTCAGAAAATTTGAAATAAAGCCTTTATAGTTTCTTGCTTCCTAGAAGGAACTTTCTATGTTGTTGAATTTATAATTTGAGGGCATTCTATAAAAATATTACAGCCCTTGGGTTCATGTCTTCTCTCACCCACTCCAACTATACAAAGTACTTTTTAGTAGTAAGTATTTTTCACATTAATAAATTTACTTGTGTCATATTACAGATGGCCTCCTTAGCAGTATCCAACTGGCCCAAGCCCATGCCATTAATTCCATGCCTGTCTTGGTCCACAGCATCTGGGGTCTTCACTACGGTAATTGGATTGCAATTGAAACTTGATAACATGTGCTTAAATGTAGTTATCTTGGTGGTCCCCAAAATCACTCCTAGGTTTAGTGACTGCTATAAGGAATAACAGAACATATACTCTCTCTCCATTTTATACACACTCAGAGAGAGAGGTGCACACTTAACTTTAAAAAAAAAGGATATGACAGAAAATAAACAAAAGGAAAAGGCACATGAGGCAGACCTGGTGTAGGTTTCCAAGGGTCCGTGCCCAGCCAGATCTCATGGTTTATGCTTAATTCCTCTAGCAATCACTTGTAACAAATGGTAAAATGCTGCTCATCACTGAGCCTATCAGAGTTAAGAGTCTGGGGTCAGTGGTTAGATGCCCTCTGCCTTGAGTGTACCAGAAGTTGAGAAGGAATTTCAGTGTTAAGCAGAATGCAGACTTGTACAAACAGTATGACTTCAATGACCCACTCTTATCATTTAGTGAAAGTTGCATATCAGTATAAAAGCTGCTTATTGATCAAATTCCCAGACTCCACTCCAGGATATAAACAGGCTTTTAAAGGCTAGATAATCTCAAGCCCAATTATATTAACTCTCTTATACAGTAATTAATAAAAATAAAAGTACTATACAAGCTATGTCATATTTGATCTTACTTTATTTCAGGGTGTATTGAGTAAATCAATTAATTGGCGGGAGTTGGAAAAGCAGTATTATACACAGACAGTTTATGAAGAAGAAATTATTCATATGCTTGAATACTGTGGGGTAAGTTTTTTCTTTGTTAGTTTGGTTGGTTTGTTCTTCCATGTGACTAGTCTGTGTCAAGCTGACAAAAACTAACCAGCATACTCCCTAAACAACCCATTATATTATGTAATGTTTCTGGTGGTTTTGCTTTTTTTTTTTTTTTTGTCCATGTACAAAGCAACACAAAATATTTTCTCACCCATTTTTTAAATTATTCATGTTTCCTTACTCTTTACTGATATAAAATAGTCTATTATATAGATGGATATACCATGATTTATAATTAATCCTTGTTAATAGATAGATATATGTGTTCTCACTTACTTTAACACACAGTGCTACAATGATCAACTTTATACATACATTATTGTACAAGTATCATTTTCTAGAAATACTATTTGCTGGGTCAAAGGGCCTATAATTTGCAGTGTGGTTAGATTCTAATTTTAGTTGTATCAGTCAAGACTACAGGAGAAAGATCTCTTTCTCCATTAATTCACGGATTCAGTATGTGAACAAATGTGAGGAAATTTTAAAACTCTGTTACCAGGTAAACTCACCAGAGAACACACATAGGCATCCTCCTCCTTTTTCTCCTTCTTCTTAGATTTTATTTATTTATGTATTTTATGTATGAATGTTTTGTCTGTATGTTTGCCTGCATGCCAAGAGAGGGCATCAGATCCCACTATAGATGGTGGTGAGCCACCATGTGGGTGCTGGGAACTGAACTCAGGACCTCTGAAAGAGCAGCCAGGGCCCCTAACCTCCAAGCTATCTCTCCAGTCCTACACATGAACATTCTCTTTTTCTAACTTACTAATTTTTATTTATTCTTCTCTCATATATTATATCCTGATTGCAGTTTCCCTCCCTCCTCTCCTCCTAGGCCCTCCTCCTACTTTCCCTCTCCCCAGTCCACTCCTCCTCAGTTTCAGAAAAGAAAGTCTTGATCTCCAGCCAGCGACTACATGGGGAACTTGCCCAAATCATGCAGCCCCGTCCTCATAGTTGTCTTTTTTGCACAAAAATAAATGCATCCTGGTTACACACTTCAGTTAGCAAGAAGCAGAACTACAGAAGCCAGAAAGCAAAGTTAGTCCATTTAGGACTCTCCTGGATCCTGGAACTGTGCTAATCCTTGGTAGATTAGCTCTTTGCTTTCATTTTGGCAGGTGTTTGGGCCTTTGTGGTGGGTTTTAAGGTCAAAGTGGTGCCTATAACATGACTTTAGTTGTGCTGAGGTTCGGGTGTCTGTTAAACTCAACTGATAGTAAAAATTGAATAGTTTTATTTTACCTCATTGTTGACATTGAGCATGTGTGTATAAGCTAAGACCACGTGTTTCATGTTTCTAGAACGAACACACACACACACACACACACACACACATCCTTTGCCTATCTTAAATTTCTTTTTTAAAATAATTATTTTGTTAGCCTGGTGTGGTAGCATACACCTTTAATCTCAGCACTTGGAGGCCAATGCAGATCTCTGAATTGGAAGCCAGTCAGGTCTACATAATTAGTTCCAGTACAGCCAGGGCTATATAGAGGGACCTTGTCTAAAAAAAAAAAAACAAAATAATAAAATAATTTTGTTAGCATATAAATAAGTGGATTTCATTGTGACATTTTCATACATATTATATTGCTTTTTGTTCCTATTTTCTCTCCTGCCCTGCTTACCCCATATCTTTCTTGCTTTTTCATGTTTTTTTTCTTGTTTGTGAGTCAGTGTGTGTGTGTGTGTGTGTGTGTGCGCATGCATGCACACACAATATTTGTCTTCCTGAGTCTGGCTAATTTTGCTTAGCATAATCAACTCCAGTTCTTTCCATTTTCCTACAAATGTCATGTCATTGTTTACAGCTAAATAAAATTTAATGATGTGTGTGTGCCACATTTTCTTTATCTATTCAGCTTTTTCTACTAGGCAGGTAGATCTTCTATTTGAAGCTAGCCTGGTCTAGATAGTAAGCTTTAGGCCAGCCTTGTCTCCAAAAATAAAATAAAATAAAAAATTATTTGATTAGCCACTTCTCATATAAGTTACAAGTTAATCTTGTAAGGATGTCATCTATTCTTTTTATTTTTCTCTTAATATACAAAAATAATAAACGTTACTTTAATTTATGTTGTATTTATAAGTCAGTAAGTTTTAAATCTACTTTTAAAACTTTCATAGGCAATATTTTTTTCTTTTATATTTTTTTAAATTGTTAGTCTATCCCAAAAAAAGGTATTTAAGTAGCTATTTCTTGTGTTTAAATGTACATTATAGTACAGGTATGCCCATAAAACTTTAAGAAAGTCTGGAATTAAAGCAGATTATAGCTATGTTTTGAAATTTTTGGCAGTAAAATCTGATGCGGGTGACTTTGACTTTTTTTAGACAGGGTTTTTTCTTTGTAGCCTGGCTGCTGTCCTGGAACTCACTCTGTAGACAAGGCTGGCCTCAAGTTCGGAGGTCCACCTGCCTCTGTCTCCTGAGTGCTGGGGTAAAGGCGTGCGCCGCCGCCGCCGCCGCCGCCGCCGCCACCACCACCCAGCAACTTTGACCTGGCAACTCTTTAGTAGGAAACATTCAACAATAAATGTGCTGTTTATCTTCATCCTCTTCAAAATTTAGTATCTGTTTTTCCTTTGGCCCTGTAAGACTGATAGTAAATCTAACAACATGAAATTTACCATTTTTTTAAAATGCCATTTTGATGGTCCAATTCATTGACAGTGAGCATACCCACAATGTTGAGTAGCCATCACCACCATCCGTCTTAAAACTTTTCATCTTCCCAAATTAAAATTCTACCCACTGAGGGTACTGGAGAGATGGCTCAGAGGTTAAGAGCACTGGCTGCTCTTCCAGAGGTCCTGAGTTCAATTCCCAGCAATCACATAGTGGCTCACAACCATCTATAATGAGATCTGGTGCCCTCTTCTGGTGTGCAGGTGTACATGTAGGCAGAACACTGTGTTCATGATAAATAAATAATCTAAAAAAAAATACCTATTGGACAACAATTACCATTTCCACCTTCCTGCTGCCTGGAGCAACCACAATTTCTTTCTGTCTCTGAATGTGTCTGTGGTAGACCTTATATGAGCAGAATACACAATTTTCCCTTTGTACCTGGTTTATTCACATCCCATCATGTCTTCAGAGTTCATCCATGTGCCTTGAAAGGGACTTAGCCAGGAGTGTTGGCCTCTGTCTGTTATCTCAGCACTTGAGAAGCCAAGGCAGGAGGCTCAAGAATGGGATCTTATGCCAGAAAAAGAAAGACAAAAATACTTCCATTACTCTTTGAGTGTGTGTGTGTGTGTGTGTGTGTGTGTGTGTGTGTGTGTGTGTGTGTAGGGGGAGGCAGGTCTGTGACAAGGTCTCACTAGGTAACCCAGGCTAGCCTAGAACACCCTGATTTTTGTAAGTCAATAAGTTTTTCTCCTGCCTCAGCCTCTTAAGTGTTGTAATTATAGGTGTGTGCCACTACCTCTATCTTTTTGTTAATTTCTGAGACTATTCCATTGTATGTATGCCATACTATATTTTACCTACTAATACTTATTACTACTTTTCCTGTTTTTAAAATGTTTCAAAAGTTGTGAATATAAATGTTCTAATATAAAATGTTTTCTTTTTTTTTTTTATCATATATTCAGACGGATTCTTTCAAAATGGGACATGAGTTCATGAAACACTTCCCTAGCAGTGCAGACAAGCTGACTAACCTGAATCTGGTTTCTAGAATGTTAAATTTAGATATGACAAACCAAGTTGTGTCCCCAAAGCATGCTGAGTGCCAAAATTCTGGTAAAACATCTATCAGTGCTACTTCAAAAGGACGCTTGTTGCAAGATACTGCTAAGATGGAATGCCTGAATCAAACACTCTCAACTAACAAAAGTCGTTATGCAAGTTACAACCCTCAGTCATTTCACCTGCTCAGCAGAGAACAAAAAAGAAGCAATCTTCAAAAAGAATCTCTAATATTCATGAAAGGAGTCATGGATGAATGCACTCATGTAGCAAACTTCTCAGGTACTAATTTTCATAGGAAACTGGAAACAGCTGTGCTGTGTAAATACTTGTTATATACACTTCATGTGTGGATGGGTGTTTTGCCTGCATGTATATCTGTGTGCCACATACATGCCCATGGAGACCAGAAGAGAGTGTCAGATCCTGAGGATTTGGAGTCACAGATGATGTGAGCCACTATGTGGGAGCTGGGGATCGAACACAAGTTCTCTGGAATATCAGCCAGTGCTCTAAACCACTTGAACCATCTCTCTAGCTCCCTGGCATTTGTTTGTTTTTGTTTTTCTGTGTATATCTTTCAAATATTCATTTTAAGGCTGGGGATATAGCATGCCTAATGTCTGGGCTCCATCCCCAGCCCTGCATAAACTGGGAATGGTGCTATGTGCCTGTAATGTTAGCAGTAGAAGTCAGAGATAGAGGCACGAAGATCAGAAGTTAAGAGTCCTCCTTGACTACAAAGTGAATTTGAGGCTAGCCTGGACTACATGAGAATTTTGTCTTTAAAAAAAAAAAAATCTTCATTTTATTAAATGAATATTGTGGTACCATGGTATATTGTTTTTCTCTTTCATGTATGCATGTTCATCTGTATGTATACATATAGAAGTCAACACTGGAGTCTTCCTCAGTTTCTCTCCACCCTAATTTTTTGAGATAAGTCTCTCACTTGGTAAACTGGTGCTTACTAATTCCACTAGACTGGCCAGTGTCTACTTCCCCAGTGCTGAGATTATAAGTGAAGCCTGTGTCCAGCTTTTAACATGGGTTCTGGGAATCAACTCATGTTTCATGCTTATGCAAGCAAGCACGTTGCTGACAAAGCCATCTCCCCAGAGTCTAAGTTGTCCAGACCAGTCTTGAACTTGTAATCCTCTGCCTCAGCTAGGATTACAGACTCATGTTTGGTGCATTTTGTTTGGTAATATGATTTTAGGTATTTATACAAAAATCAAAGACCTTTTTAATGCATCAAAACCCTATACTTAGTTCCAGTTGACCCAAGCCTCATCATAGTGGTACAAGCCAAAGAGGATGCCTATATTCCACGCACAGGAGTTCGAAGCCTACAAGAAATTTGGCCTGGTTGTGAAATCCGGTACTTAGAAGGGGGTCATATCAGTGCTTATCTCTTTAAACAAGGACTCTTCAGGTAAGATGATTCATCTAAATAGGTATTTATTTGTTGCTTGTTTAGGAGAATATTTTTTTGCCTTAAGAAGTATATGGAGGTCAACAAGGAAGTAGAAAATCTAGAACATATAATAAAGTATTTTAAATCTTACACTGAAGGATTTTTCCTAGATTGTTCTAGAGATATCAGAAGCATATTTTATCAGATGGTTTTAACCAGAGATAATTTTAAAATAGTTTCTGTCCTCCATATGTTAGTGACTAATTATTTCTTTACATTTCATTTCAGACAAGCCATCTATGATGCCTTTGAACGTTTCCTTCATAAATATGCTAACTAATTGGATTGATGTGTAACATCCTGTTTCCTACTAAAAGAGTTCATCCTGTGATGATGTGAAAGATAAGCAGACAGCCCTGCTTACCTGACTGCTGCCATGTAGTCTGTGTGCCAGTGTTACGGGTCAGTTACCAACTGTGGATGCATTTCAGTAATGTAAAAGCAGTACTTGAATCATATAATCCTGAAGTATTTGTTACTCTTTTGAAAATCTAATATATCCAATATGATATCTGTTGTTATTATTTATAAAAACATTTTAATTATGAATAATTTATTGATTCAGAATAAATAGAAACCCTATTGGTTTTTAATAGAATTGTTGAAACTAAGATTATAACATCATATGTACTGTATACTATTATATGGCATTTGTGATATTAACTTGATTTTAAAAACCTGTGTTCCTCCTTTTTGTCTGTGAAGTGGGTTTATAATCTAGTTTTCAACCTTAGGTACTTTACTGCCATAGAAATACCTAAGATATATAAGTCAGTGTTAGCTTTGAATTATGAAAATATCCTGACTGCTGAGCTGTGCCAATGTGGTAGTACGAATTTGTAATCCCAGCACTTGAGAAGTGAAGGCAAGAGGGTCAAGAGTCCCATCATTGTCTTTTACGTAGCAAATTTGAGGCCAGCCTGAGCTACATGAGACCTTGTCTCAAAAAATATACCTGGCATGGTAGCTCATGCCTTTAATCCCAGCAGGCAGGAGACAGAGGCAGGCAGATCTCTATTGAGTTCAAGGCCAACCTGGTCTATAGAGCAAGTTGCAGACCTGCCAAAGCTATGTGTCTCCAAGAAAATAACACAGCAGTACAAAACAAAAACTGTACTGCTTTGTAGTGCTTTTAATAGCTAGACTGAATGCTAAAATATACACATAAGATGAATTAGACTAGAGTAGGCTTTAAATTTTTATCAAAGATTAGGTCAGAAAAAGTGTCGGGGCTGGGCTGGGCTTGCCCAGCCTATGAAGGCTCTGAGGCCAGTCCCCAGTACTGCCAAACAAAAAGAAAACCCAGACGTGTTTGGGGGTGGGGGTTAAACATGTTTTCTCTACTTAAGAGAGTTTTGTTTTGAAAAATAGATATGATAGAAGAACTTTCCCCTTGATGGCAGATTCTGTCAGGCGTTTCTTACACACCTGGTTCTTCTTCTTTGACTTTTTAATTTCAGAATAGCCACACGTGAAATTGAACCATTGTACAGAAAAACTTGAGGTTTTATACACTGCTGACTTTTTAAATGGGAGTTATAATGGATAGATATTTGGTGCTGATATCAAACTTCTCTAAGCTAAGATGTTCAAAGTGTGTTTCTGTTTGAATTCTGTATTGCCCTTCACTTTAAACTAGGTCTTGCTGGTCTAGTGGGGATCCGTAGATTGCGACATGCCTTTGGCAGCTGTTTAAAGACGCTGTGCTCTTCTAATGTCTCTGTATTAAAATTCCTGACAACTATTTAAATATTTTAATGTGAAGTCATTGATGGCAAGTAGTAGCTCCTTGGACACTGTTAGAGTTATTAGAGCTACAGCAATTTTGTGTATTCAGACTAGGATTTTTACTTTTCACTTCAAGTACAAAATGATCCTTAAGAATAAAACCTGGCCTGTGCACGCCTTTAATCCCAGCACTCAGAAGGCAGAGGCAGGTAAATCTCTGAGTTGGAGGCCAGCCTGGTCTACAGAGGGAATTCCAGGACTGAGAAACCCTGTCTTACAAAAACAAAAACAAACAAACTCAAATTAAATGGATTACACTGTTCTATCATACATGTAGTACGAGAACTTCATTCGATTCTAGACATAGTTTCAGTAAAAAACAATACTTTTTTCTTTACATGCATTTCTTATTAAAAACATTCTGTGGTATGTAGTTTTTCTAATAGTAAAATGATGAAAATTTGATAGTTTAATTAATTCTTAGACTATTTTAGAATTGTTATCTTTTAAGAAATGGGTGCAGAGCTAGGCATGGTGGTATACACCTTTAATCCTAGCACTGGGAGGCAGAGTTCAAAGCCAACCTGGTCTACAAAGCAAGTTCCAGGACAGTTAGGGCTACACAGAGAAACCTTATCTCAAGAGAGAGAAAAAAAAAAAAAAAGGACTGGGTGTCACTGGCAGTACATGCCTGTAATTCCAGCACTTGGGAGGCAGAGGATCATTCACAAGTTTGAGGTCAGTGTGGTCTGCATAATATGTTCCAGACCATCCAGGGCTACCTGTCTCAAATAAATTCATTTTCATACTTAATTCACAAAGCTGCCTAAATTGATTAATTGAGAGAGGAAAATACCTTTTTTCTCATTTCTTTAAACCCACTCTGCAAAATAGTAGCTTATGTACACACACACACACACACACACACACACACACACACACACACACACGTTATATATATTCTTTGAGAAATTAATATATTCTCAAAGAAGTCCTGCCTGCCATTTTCCTGCCTTTTTGTATATTAGGTTATAATATACTACCGATTCATTCAGACCAGAATTGCAGGAAACTAGTCCTCACAAGCGAGTTTGACCCAGTTTTATTTGGTGTATGTAATGGGTGTGCATTCCCAATTCTGCCAGCAGATTTCTTATATGTAACTACTACTCTCTATTTTCCACTCAGCTCTAAAGACCCCTGTAGTTCTATAATTAGACTTCATGATTTGCCAATGTTGTAATTAGATCATTTTATCAATGTATTTTTAATGTGGTGCATTAACTGAATTTTAAAAATATTTCCAAATTTTATATTTCATAATAAAAGTCTATTTTAGAAGTTATCTGCTTTGTTTTTTTTTTTTTAAAGAAGTATCATTCCAACTACCAGAGGCATGTATCATTTGAGTCATGTGTCCAAACTTGAGCTAATTCTGTGTTTGCCCTTAGATATTGTACCCATGTAGTAAGGCCGAAATAAGTAAGGGAGGCTCTATCACAACAATATGGGTATCTTAGTATCTCTTCAGAGCCAGGTTTGCTCCATGTGATCCCAGGAGAACAAGCATTCTGACATACCATGTTTGTCTCAGTGTTGTTTAACTTGGATGTGATTATGTTCAAAAAAGTAAACATGTCACAAATAAAACCTCAAGGTGTCAGTTAACTAAAGGATTCCCTTGGGCTGGGAGGAATGGGATCCTGGACAAAGGCTGCCGTAGAATGGTTTGGAAGTTGGATGTGGTTGCTCATATCTGTAATCCCAACACTGGAGAAGTTGAGGGCAGGAGGAAAGAAAGTTCAGAGCCAGCTGGGCTGACTTCACACTTGTAGCATTGGTATGTACCTACACCTGCAAGCATGTACATATATGCACATACAAATAAATATAATTTTTGAGCCAGGCAGTGGTGGTGTATACCTTTAATCCCAGCATTCAGGAGGATGAAGCAAGTGGATTTCTGAATTAGAGGCCAGCCTGGTCTACAGAGCAAATTCCACGAGAGCCAAGACTACACAGAGAAACCCAGTCTCAAAAAACAAAATAATAAGCCGGGCAGTGGTGGCGCACGCCTTTAATCCCAGCACTCGGGAGGCAGAGCCAGGCGGATCTCTGTGAGTTCAAGGCCAGCCTGGGCTACCAAGTGAGTTCCAAGAAAAGGTGCAAAGCTACACAGAGAAACCCTGTCTCAAAAAACCAAAAAAAAAAATAATAATAATAATAATAAATATACTATTAAAACATGATATGAACAATATAATAAATATTACATATTATTAAATAATATATTATTCTCTTGTCTCAAATTATTTTGAGACAAGGTTTTACTATGTAGCTCTGTCTGGCCTGAAACTCACTAGATAAACCAGGCTGGCCTTGAACTCAGAGGTCTGCCTGTGTCTGCCTCCTGAGCATTTGGATTGAAGGTGTGTGCACCATGCTGAACTGAGATTAGGACTATTTTTTCATAGAAGATAGTTCACTTGATTGGTTTCAAAGTTCTGTTCCCTATCATCAAAATCTTTTGCAAATATTCATGTGTCAGGGCTTTTCCACCAGGACATTTTGCATAATTTTTGCTCTGAGAATGTCTACACAGATAGGTACTGCTAAAAGCTGATGATGATCCCAAGGCAAATGCTTTCATTTTATTTAATTTTACTGTATAGCCTTGGCTGGCCTGGAACTAGCTATGTAGACCAGGCTGGCCTTTACTCACAGAAATCTCCTGCCTCTGCCTCCTGAGTGACTGGAACAAATGAGCAAATGCTTTTAGTTGGACCCTTTGGAGGGTGTTTATAAAATTCTACTCCATTGCTCTTCATGCTTGCCTTGTTGCAATAACATAAAGTGATGACAGTACCACATATGGTTTCTGTTGTGACTACTCAATTAGTACAGTGTAAAGTAGCCACAGAACATTCAGAAACGAGTAAACATGGCTGTGTTCTAGTAATGTTTTACTTTCGGGACTGAAATTTGAATTTCATATGATTTTCATGTGCCACAAAATATTCTTTTCATCTTTAGAGTGCTTTCCTAGCATGCTCAAGACCTAGATTCAATACCCACAAGTGGGGTGGAGTTGGGAAAAAAAAGCCGTTTGTAGTTTATGCCTGTAGGGTGCACAGGAATGGGCCAGGGCCATAGGCCATAGTGTACCAATGCCCAAGCCAGGTAACCCATGCAGTGCTTGCTTGTTTCCTTTTTATCACCCTTACACTACTATGTATCATCTTGGGATGGAAGCAATACAGCTATTCCCCTTCAAGAGCCATTTAATAATAATAAAAGAAAGAAAGAAAAACAGTTGGGGAGCAGGAGAGATGGCTCAGTGGTTAAGAGCACTGACTGCTCTCCCAAAGGTCCTGAGTTCAATTCCCAACAACCACATGGTGGCTCACACCCATCTGTAATGAGATCTGGTGCCCTCTTCTGGCCTGCAGGGATGCATGCAAACAGAACACTGTATATATAATAAATAAACAAATCTTTAAAAAAAAAAAAATCAAACAGTTGGGCTAGAGTTGTAGTTTAATGTAGAGTGCTAGCATTTGTGAGGCTCTGAGTTTGATCCCACCACTGCAAAATAATAATAAATAAATGATATAATAAAGGTGAAAATATTTACATAAGAAAAGCCAGAGGCCCTCCCTTCACTTTCCCATCTGTGACTTTGTAACACTTTTCATCGTTTGGAAAATACTAGGTCACAGGGCTATGGCAGATCTTCCTAATGTTAGCACATTCCATTACATACCAAAATTACATCCAAGGGCTAGAGAGATGGCTCCGCCTTAGAGTGCTTTCTGTGTGAGTGCAAGGACCCAAGTTCCTATGCCAACATCCATGTTAGAAACTGGCTGTGGCTGTGCGAATACCTGTAACTAAGCACTTTGTAGGGAAGAGACAATTCATTGAAACTTGGTGGCCACCAGCCTACAGAATGTGATAAAGACTTGAGGCATCCTCCTTTTTTTCTTTTTGAGATTTATTTATTTACTTATTATACAGGAGAGGGTGCCAGATCTCATTACAGATGGTTGTGAGCCACCATGTGGTTGCTGGGAATTGAACTCAGGACCTCTGGAAGAACAGTTGGTGCTCTTAACCTCTGAGCCATCTCTCCAGCCCAATTGTTGTTTGTTTGTTTATTTGTTTTTGGTTTTTTGAGACAGGGTTTCTCTGTATAGCTTTGCATCTTTCCTGGAACTCACTCTGTAGCTTAGGCTGACCTTGAACTCAGAGATCTGCCTGGCTGGGTCTGAGGCATACTCTTTTGGCCTCTGCATGCAAACATACACACACACACACACACACACACACACACACACACACACACACAAATAAAAAAAATTAAATAAAAGCTTTTCTGTTCATACATAACTTTCAGAATGAAACCAGAAGAAAATACACTTCACTCATAATTTTAAAAAAATGAGCCGGGCGGTGGTGGCGCACGCCTTTAATCCCAGCACTCGGGAGGCAGAGCCAGGCGGATCGCTGTGAGTTCGAGGCCAGCCTGGGCTACCAAGTGAGCTCCAGGAAAGGCGCAAAACTACGCAGAGAAACCCTGTCTCGAAAAAACCAAAAAAAAAAAAAAAATGAAAGCTAGGAATAAACCTAATTAAGGAAGTAAAATGCATCTGTAATCCACAGATTCAACATAATTCCTACCAAAATTCCAATGATATCTCACAAAATTAGAAAAAAATTCAAAAATCATATGGACTCACAAAACACCCATAGTAGTCAAAGTAATTGAAGGCAGAAAGAACAGCACTGTAGACATCATAACCTGACTTCAAGTTATACTACAGAAACAATAACAAAAACAACACCTAGACCACTAGAAGACCCAGAAATCCACACAACAACAGCCACTAATGCTCAATGAAAGTGTCAAAAACAAACATCAAAGGGCCATCGACATGGTTCAGCAGGTAATCATGCTTGCCATGCAGGCCTGACTACCTGAGTTTAATCCCTGGAAGTCATATGAAGGTAGAAGGAGAGAGCTGACTTCAAGTTCTCCTTGGACCTCTTCATGTATGCTGTGGCACATGCACACCCACAAACACGTCTCTTTCACATATACCCACAATGATAAATAAAACAAAAAATTTTAAATGTAAAAATGAATTCAACTTTAGATTTCACCCACATATATGCCCCTTCTCTATAGGCAAATTAATAGTAAGCTAGATTAGGCCATCAGAGAGTCGAGAACGGTGGATGACTGGTAGGACCTGAAGGTCATCTCAATACTGACAGATGAGACCGGAGGCTCCCCAGTTTGAGGCCAGCCTGGGAGATACAAGAAGAACCTGTTCTGCCCCCCCCCCCAGGAGCTGAGAACCCAGGGCCTTGCTCTTGCTAGGCAAGTGCTCTACCACTGAGCTGAATCCCCAACCCAAGAACCTGTTCTTTTAGGCTTGAGAGATGAATCAGAAGTCAAGAGCACTTGTTCTTATACAGGACCTAGGTTCAATTCCCAGCACCCACAGGTGACTCACAGCCATTCATTCATAATTCCAGTTCCAGGGAATCTGATGCCATCTGTGGGCACCAGGCGCACACATGATGCACATATATACATGTACACATACATACATGAAGGTGAAATATCCATAAACATAAAATAAATTTAAAACATAATTGTTCCTTCAGAATTGGAAAAGAGAAAATGTTCTACTTTTCTGTACTTGCTAATTATTAGAATATTTTAAAAGATTAAATATTACCATTATTTATTATTATTTTTTAAAATATAATTTTTTTCATGTGTATGGGTATTTTGCCTGCATGTTTGTGCCCCACATTTGTGTCTGGTGCTCACAGAGGTCAGAAGAGAGCATTAGATCTCTTGGAACTGGAGTTACAGACAGGTGTAAACCACCATGTGGGTGCTGGAAACTAAACCCAGGTCCTCTGCAAGAGCAACAAATGCTCTCTACTGCTGAGATATCTCTCCAGCCTCATATGGTATTGCTTTTAAAGGTTTTTATTTATTTATTTATTTATTTATTTATTTATTTATTTATTTATTTATTTATTTTGTTTTGTGTTTTCAAGACAGGGTTTCTCTGTATAGCTTTGAAGCCTGTCCTGGAACTCACTCTGTAGACCAGGCTGGCCTCCAACTCCCAGAGCTCTGTCTGTCTCTGCCTCCCAAGTGCTGGGATTAAAGGCATGCACTACCACCGCCCCACAGCAAGAAAAAGCATTTTTTATGTTCGTGATATATAGTTTATTTTTCAAGTGGTATTTTCTAAAGATGTTTTGATTTTTTTAAGATTCATTGATTTTTATTTTATGTGTATGGGTGCTTTGTGGGCACAT